GTTTTGGTCAATTTTGCTATTCTGACTGGAGTAAGATGATATCTCAGAGTTGTTTTGTACTAAGGGTCTCTTTTGAGCAGTAATGATGTCAGGGTGAAATGTTCATCAGGACCGTGGGTGAGACACTATGTCCAATCACAATTGTTCTGAAATAACTTGTAATTCTGCTGCACACACAAAATAGGAAATGGTGGTATATAAAGAGATGACAAACTCACTTGTGATCTCTTCAGGACTGGATGCTGGGGAATGAAGTACAACTTTTTCTACCAAAGACTCTTTCTTCTCAAAACCTTCAAATATCTCTATACAACATGAAAGAGTTGGAAAAGTGAATGCTAGAGAGACAACCGTTTCTAATATGGTAGAAACACTTGGAAACTAGGAACATATATGGCAACACAACTGCATAAAACTTAATATAAAAATTTTTTAAAAATTGGGGGGGTGCTGGGCGGGGAGAGAAGTGTAGCAATCAGTGAATGGAAATCCAAAATCTCTGTAAATGCTCATTAAAATTAATTTTAAAAAAAGTTCAACACACACACACACACACAAAAATAATTTAAAAATATTTTCTCAAGGAGCTCTGGTGGCCTAGTGGCAAGAAGCTGTACTGCAAACCCAAAGGTACACGGTTCAAATCTACCAGATGCTCTGCCGGAGAAGGAGGGATAATTTCCTCCTGGACCAGTCAGATTTGATTTGACGGTACATGCACACACACAAAAAAATAAAATTAAAAAAAATATTTTCTCAAATAAAAATAAAGAAAGGTTTAGTTTGGTTATCAAAGCTTGAAAAAGAAAACCCAACAGGTGGGGGAGAAATGAAACCAGAGTAAAAATGGTTTTAAAAAAAGGGAGGGAAGTAAATTTGGAAAGGGAAGATGTAGCTAGGAAGGTGGTTATTTCGAGGGATTGATACAAAATGAAATCATTAAAGAGGGAGAAAGATGAGAAATGCACACCCGCTGGGTCAGCTATGCGTCAGTTCCGACTGTTAAGATACACGATAACAAGGTTTTAGAAACATCTATAAAACCCTTTTTTTTTAAGTTTTTGTAAACGTTTATTAAAATTAATTTTTTTTATTTAATTCCTTTCTTTTTCATTTCAGTGAACATCTACAGAGATTTTGGAATTCCATTCATTCATTGTTGCACCCTTCTCCCGCCCCCCCCAACCCCCACCCAAAACCCTTTCTAAAAGGCAGTATGTCATGAAGGAAAGTTGACATGGTGCTATCATTTTTGTATCAAGAAAGAGGAATTAGGCTCATTTATATTGTCATTGTTGTTATGTGCCTACAACTCCTAGCGACCCTCTGTACAACAGCCCTAAACCCTGCTCTGTCCTGTGCCAATCTCATTGCCTCTGACACTCCCATCCCAATTACCCCAGTCACTGAATCAATCCATTTCATAGAGGGCCTTCCTCTCCTGTCCCTCCACCCTCCCAAGCATGACGTCCCTCTCCAAGGACCGGTCCTTCCTTGCAACATGTCCAAAGTATGTCAGACAAAGCTTCAGAATCCTTGCCTCCAAGGAGCAGCGTGGTTTCACCCGCTCTAGGACAAATCTGTGTGCTCTCCTAGGAGACTATGGTGTATTCCACACTCGTCTCCAGCACCACAGCTCAAAGGCATCAATTATCATCTATCCTCCGTAGTCACCGTCCAGCTCTCTGATGCATGGCTTGCAACTGTGAAGACCATGGCCTGAATCAGGCGCACCTTAGTCTCCAGAGTGACACCGTTGCTCTTCAGCACTTTGGAGAGATCTCTTAACAGCGGCCTTTCCCATTGCAATTTCTCTTTACATTTGCTGGCTTTGAACAGAGACGTTTCGGAGACACTGTCGTCTACTAAGATTGCTATTTTCTCTCTTGTGGATTTTAGTTGAGCCTGGCTGCACCTGGCAGCTCCTTGCAGGCCCTTGATGGCCAGCGTGTCCCTGTCCATTCCTCTCTCTCTCTCTGTCTGTCTGTGCACACTCTGCATCTCTGTCTGTCTGTGCACATTGTGCATCAGTACTAGGTCAGGGCTCAGGGACACGGGGTGCTGGCCTGCGAGCCTCTGACCATCAGAGAACCCGGGGCCCCACTTGAACTTGACCTCGAGCACGTGACCCAGCAACAGATGCACGCGGGGTGGCGGTGTGCGCTGTGCAGGCAGCGATCAGGGTCGCAATGACCACTTGCCAGGGTCCCCGTGTCCGCCTCCCTCCCGGACCCCGCGCGATGACCCCACCCCCCCAGGTGGCGCGGGGTGTGAAGCCCCGAGCACAGCCCTGTCCAGCCCTCCCGCCCTCCCACTGACCACCAACCCTGGTCCTCCGCGCACGCTCACCTTCTGGTCCGGGGACGCGCGCACGGCCGCTCCGGACACTCGGACACTGCGCAGCTTAGATCGCAGCGGGCGGCAATGGCGGGGAGGTGGCCGCGGCGGCTCGCGGAGGACAGGAAGTCCCCGGACACGCCGGACAGCGCGGGGGGGAGGCCGCCGCGGACTCAGGAGGGGAAGCGGACCTCCCTGCTAGGCCCAATGTGACGGACATAAAAGAAAACGCAAAACAATGGCGGCGGCGGCGACAGCCACGGGTCACTTCCGGTTTCGGAGCGGTGTCCCACAAAAATACCTCCGGGCGGAAACAAAGACACCCCCCCAGGCTGAACTTTGGTTCCTACCTTCAAGTTTCCAATCCTGTTTGTCTTTCCCTCCAAGGTCGTGATTTTCTGGTACAAACGAGACAAGAGGGGACCACAAGCAAGCGGCTTTTTGACAGGTGCATGGACTAAAATGTGCATGTCAATTGAAAAAGTGAGAAGAAAAGCACACTTTTTTCCCATGTGCAATGAGTCGACGTCCGCCTGTGCAGAATCGGCTCATCCAGCCCCTTGACTTGCACATTGTGAAGGGCTGTCATCTGGGCACCCTGGTCCCCAGGGAAGCACAGTGCACGGGTCTCTGGGGATTGCAAGTCACAGGTTCAAGGTCAGGTCCTGGGAGCAGGGCACTAGCGTTCAGGACAGGAGGACTCAGCCTGTCACTTTCTGTAGGTCAAGGCAAATGATAAAGCAGCATTCATGGGATTTGCAGCCAGAGCCAGGGGTGGAGAAGAGGTCATTAGCCCCGTGGGCAGTTAGGATTACGGGTGTTGTGGAGGTCAACCCCGCACCTGCACTTTTCATCCTAGTCTTCTGAGAGGTAAAATTATTTTATAAGGTAATAGCTAGAACAATTTCACTGATTTCACATGCAAGCAAGATTTTATTGAAAATTATCCAAAAACGACTGGCACAGCACATCAACAGAGAACTACCAGAAGTCCAGGCTGGTTTCAGAAGGGTTTGTGGTACTAGAGATACTGTAAATGACGTTTGATGGATCTTGGCTGAAAGTAGGGAATACCAGAGGAATGTCTATCTGTGTTTCATTGACTATGCAAAGGCATTTGACTGTGTAGATC